TTGAATAAATCTATCTCATTCTTTCATCTCTTCTTCTGCTCACAGGTCCCTTTTTTGTGGAAGTATCCGGTCACAGTTTATGCATTGCATGCTATTTATGCAGTTCAGCCCATGAAAAATACATGAAGAGTCCCTCACTCTTTCTCCCCACGGCTTCATAAATCTTGCATCGCTTTCTGCATGGCAGCTCGGCTTCATGGGGTGATGGGGAGCAGCCTCCCCGCTGCTCCTGCCCTGGGGCCGCAGCATCCTCCAGGGATGCCGGCACTACAGGGTCGAACACTGCTGGGCTGGCAGAGGAGGGGGGGTTCAGAGCCTCCCCAGCCCCGTTTTCAGGTTATTGGATAGGAAAAATAAGGCAGAGGTGCTGCTTAGCTGCCCTGCAATGTCACCAGCACTGGGGGTCATCTTGCTTTGCAGTTTGTTTCAGGTTTACTGAAAACAAGAGTCATGCAGAGAATAATATTACCCTGTTCACGGCTTGTTAAGCATCCTCGAGAGCTGGTGTTTGCGACTGGAGATGCAGCTGCGCATTTATTGCAGGGACTGGCTGGAGGCTGTGCAGAAGAACCACCCGAAAAATAAGTCAGGCACATGCTTAGGGACCCGCTTTGCAGGTAAAGCACCATACCTTTCTGAGCAGGTGAATTTATTAGTTGGCAGCCACAGAGTGCAAGTGCCTCTTCTCACACTGAGCCCAGTGGTGGAAAATCATCTTATCTTTACTGGTAGCAGTAGTAAGTTTTGTCCATTTGCAGCCTAATCCCCTTCTCCCTCCCGCTCATGTTGGCTGAGGAACAGGGACAGGAGGCAGCTGCTCTCGTGGAGGTGTCTCCATGAGGGCACCATCCCTCTTTCTACGGCCACTGAAATCAAGACCTTGTTAAACACCCTTGTTCCTCAAGATTTTCACTTGCCTTCTTTCAGTTTTTTTGTGTTGAAGCTGCTAGAGGTGGCGAACCTTCCCATTGTCCCCATGAGTCCAGCCTTGGCTGTCCAATGCCTCCCCATCACCTGCAAAACTATTTTGCTTTCAGCTTCTTTAAAGAAGTTTCCCCATTTTTTGTGTTTTCCCCTTAGCAGGCTCTCTGTCTCCACAAAGCTATCAAGGACGCTGCCTACATGGGGCAAGTTAATATTGTTTTTCCGCTGTCCTCAGAGCCCCTCTGATCCTTCCCAGCGTCGGTTGCCATCGTGGTCCAGCAGCAGACAACCCTGGGCCGAATAAGACAACGCTGCATGGGGACTGGCACGTCAGTCCAGAGAGATTTTATCCGAGCTGCTGACAACCTCAGTTTGCTAATCCAATTGACCTCGTGCTCCCTTTAATGTATAAAGCAGCGTTCCTCTGCCGTCCCAGCCTACCATGCCTTTCCTGGCCAGGGTACGAGCGTACCACCCGCTGTCTGCCGGGCCTTCCCGTGACGTCGGGAGAACCACCATCCTCATCCGCGGCTCTCCCCTTTGTCCTTCAGCAGTGGCCACCTTGCAGGAGCCAGAAGATGCTGGCTGCTCACCACCACCTCCATTAGACCTTTCCCAGGCCGATCTTTTCCCCCTCGCCCCTTGGCCTTTCCCACCTGTGTCTTTCCTCACCTCTCTTTAAGGCTGGCCTGCGCCCCTTTGCAGCATGAGGTTGCCCTCAAATCCATGGGGCAGGGGAGGAATTGGGTTTGGGATGTGGTGGCGGGTGCTCCGGCCGGCCATGGGTCTGCTGGGTCCCCCCCCAAAAAATATCAGAGAAAAAGAAAATCAGTAAATCAGTTTTTTTTGGGGGGGGGGAACCACAAAAAATTGATATTTCTGAGGGACAGGGGAATGGTGTGGCCAGGGGCTGCTCTAGGGAGACTAATAAGCAGATTTATTCCCCCCCTCCCCCAAATAAAATTAGAGGAAAGAGGGAACAGACTGTAACAAGGTAGCATGCCTTCACGTTGGGTTTACGCATCTCCCTTGTCCCAGAGGCCCCTCTCTCCCCCAGGGACCACAAGATTAGCACCAAGTCTGTGTTTAGGAGAGAAAAAATAAAGAGAATTTATTTCCTTGCCAACAGGGAAAATCCTGACGCTTCGTGGAAAGCCGAGGGGGCACGCGTGCGTGTGATCCACAACTGGATGTTGCTGTTAGTAAAATGTTTTTATTTTTATGAAAAAATAGAAAATTTCATATCTTACACTACAAAAAAAACCCATGTACACAAACAAAATGCACAGAGAGCATCCAAGGAGGTGGGGGGGAAGGGGAGGAATAAATACAGCAATGCTACAGTCTCCTATGAGTTAAAACGCCGATGCGAGGAGCTGAGATGGATGCTGTGGCTCTGGCAGCACTGGATGCACCGGCTCCCGCCCTACCTGCCCTAAGGAATTACAATAAAGGATTGGAAACTAAGCGTTACTCTTAAGACTGCTACTGATGTATCTTACATATGCCTTAACAACTAATTTCAAGATCACAGCAGTCCGAGGAGTCACAATTTCTTGACCACTGGGACTTCCTACATTATATTCAACACTGAATAGACAAAAAAAAATTTTACCTTCATTTTTTATTCTTCTCGCCATTAACATATAGAAGGAATAAATAAACTTTTAAACTGATTTGTTTTTTCTTTTAAATCAGTCTTCCTTTTTTATGCTCAGGTGATTTTTCCAAATGGTAGCTACACAATGAAAGGGGGTCAGTCTACACAAGCCATGCTTGGGGACACTTCCTTCTCCCAAAATGAAAAACTATATCGAAAAGAGCCTTTTCACCTCTCAGATCCTTTGAAATACCTTCCTTGCAATTAGCAGCAGAATATACTGGGAAAAAAGTATTCATTGGACCAGCCATAGCAGTAGCGAGCAGGAAAAGCAAAGCGCTCAGACTGAACCATAGGCGGGAAATCCACCTACAGCCCTTACGAAGAGCACGACCAGGAAAATATTACTGTCATCCTGGTCTGCTGCACCCCAATATATATGATCGTGCCCCAAATACAGAGTACTTGCAGTTCTTGGATGGGAACCGAAAACCTCCGTTGTCTCTGGAATTTGCTTGTGGACATAGAAGCTGTAACTTTTGGACCCTACTCGTTAAAACACCATTTTATTTTATTTTTAGCTCCGAGACAAAGCCTATTATACAGAGATCTGTAGCAAGAACAGCTCTTGAAATAAATAGAAAAGGTTATTTATTTATTTATTGGAGGAACGGAGAAGAGGTGCCCTATTTACAAACGCAGTCTGGCTTAAGAACAGGTTGTTTTCCACTAGTTCATCACTTTAAAGGTTACTCCAGCATCTGGTATGCATGCCAGCCATACCGCATACGCCTTTAAAACCCCGCAAATGGTGAAAAGGGGATTTTGCTGTTAAAAGTCCATGAAAAAAGACTAACCCCAACTCCTCCCACAGAGCCAACAGGTAAGGAATGAGCAGAGATGATGGGCAGAAAGTGCTGCATTTTGCTAATATCATCTCTCTCAGTGCAGCCGATGGATGCAGGCGGCAACCGAACGATTCCTCCCGACGAAACCAGTTGTTTCTGTCTTCCTACAGGTTATTTTCCCAAGCGCTGCAGGCAGGGAGGCACAAATAATCCCAAGACTGTTCTGCTGACAGCTCTAATAATCTTATTTATTATATGACAATCTCTTTTCCGCACCGAAATTGTTATGTCTTGATTCCCCCCTCCTCTTTTGTGGTCCGGTGGCTGCCAAAATGGAACAACAGGATGAGAAATCACACCATCAAAATTTGTCAGACCTCGCCACGGCTCCTCTCCCTCCTAATTCGCCTGATTTCCAAGGAGCTCAGCAGCAGCTCGCAGAGGAGGAGGAGACCATTTCAGAACAGGCAAATATTGCCTGAAGAAGCCCTGCTCAAAGCAAGCAAAGCCCTGCTGCTAAGAAAAAAGAACACCCAACCCTCTCCTCCTAGACCTTTCCCTTTTCTTTAAAAAACATTCTTTGTATCAAATCTCACCCAAAGGCCTGGGGGAAATGGAAGAAAGACCTTTGAAACAGCTGAAGGTGGCATTCGACACCTGCTTCTGCAGACGTGAAGGACGCAGGCCTCCTTTCGGGACTGGATGAGCTCCCCGGGCTCGGCTCTGCAGCACCGGGGACGAAGGGAACCGCAGCAAGTCAATAAGTCATTGTTATCGCCAAGGAAGGATGCTACAAGATGCTACCCAGCCGCTAAGGAAGCGATATATCTACAGAAACAGCAAATGCTTGCCATCCGCTGAGCCATTTTTAAACCCTTATCTTAACCAAAGTCTTCACAAAAAAAAAGCTCAACATATGAATACCAAATTGACTGTGCTGATTAATCCTACCTACAACAAAAAGAGGACAGCCCCAAACTGTTTCTTGGTGGGATTCCCAGGGGATCGGGTTGCCCTCAGGTCCCTCTGAAAACAGCAGCCATGAGCTTTAATGGACACACTGAACCCCAGCTGCAACCAAGTGCTGACCCGAGCTGTGCCAGCCCCAGATGGGTGGGACCTTCTTGCCCATGGGATGCCACCACTGCGACCACACTGGGCTGCTCTGCTCTTCCGTCCTCTCTGCGCTCTGCCCCAAAGTGGCGAGGTCCATATCCAAACCAAAAATGCCCAGAGAGACAACCTGGCAGAGCACTGTTCCCAAAATAATCCCACCACCACCACTTTGGGGGGAATACTGCAAAATCTCCATGCTGGATGACCATGGGGTCGCCTCCACACTGCACCCCAGGCCTTAACCCCCGTAACGAGAAGAGGAACAGCAAAATCCCTTTCTTCCAGCTAAAACCACTTTGTGGTTTCTCTCCTGGGCTCCAGGGACAGGGGGGTGAGGGCTGCACTGGGTGACAGCTACTGGGCTGAAATGCCGGTGCGGAGGCACTCCCACACTATCTTTGGGCTGGGCTCGTACACACAAAAACCGATGCCACGTTGTTGCTGGAGGCCACTGAGAACCAGATGTTTTACTTTTCTTCTTCTGGACGTCCCCAGCCCACGGTGGAAAGGAAGAGGGGGTGATGTCTTCTATTTAAGCAGACTCCTTCTACCTCATATACATAACCAAAACTCCTGAAGGCTTTATATGTTGCTCAAACCAAACAGCAGCAAAAATACAAAACATAGCAGTAACACAAAAGGGACACAAAACAAAGCAAAAGAGAGGAGGGGAAAAAGAACAAACCAAGGAAAGAGCCCCGATCTTGTACCTGATGCGTAGCAAACTGTACAGTATATACATCTTCATCATGTATTATCCTCCCAGAAGAGCAAACAAAAAGAATGTGGTAACACGGAGGGAGGAAAAAAAAATATACACCCTGTATTGTATTTGCCATGGAGCAAGCAACATGTTTATACACTAGTCTCTATAACTTAATGCTGTGTAACAGCATTTTTTTTTCTTTTCTTTAAATTTACAAAACAAAATATCTATCGAGAAATAATCTAATCATATTGCTCTTCAATACACTTCTGTAGACAAGTAAGACTCGAAGTTAAACTTCAGTAAACTGCAGCTTTTGGGAGCCCACGAACGGCCACAAAACTCCTCCGCTCAAGTCAGTCCTTGGAAGTATTACCATGTGCTGCTGGAATTCAGTATATAAAGGTGCTATATATATATATCCCATGTACAGACAACGTGTGGTGGGAAGGCTTGTTGTCATCATCGCTGAAGCTTAAGAGACGGGTTAACCTCACATACAGCAGATTCGTTTCCATGTTCCATGCATCTTACATTTACTTCATGAAAATGAGGACACAAATAGGAAGAAAAGGAAAACTTTAGTCAAACACTGCTTTAGAAACGCTGCGGCAGAGGCCAACGTCCTTCAGTTATAGAAACCACTGAATTTCCCTTTTTATCTTTTCTTTTTTTTTTTTAGTCAAAATAAATCTCAGGGCTAGTGTACAAAGTGCAGGACCGACCCACTTGAGGAAGCGACTTTAAAACAGAGTTACAACGGCACCATCCCATTCACCAACTGGACCTTCATCTCTTGAAGGCTGTTCATTATCTTCTTCTGGTGACCAACAAGTGTCACTCCCAGCCGCCTCAAATCCCTGTGGGAGAAAGCAAACGTTGGTTCCAGGGACCGCTCAGGCACACGCCGCCGCGCACACCACGCTTCGCACGCGCCAATGCTGCTGCCAGCGCCTACCTCTTACCATTGGCGGCTCCCGAAGCCAGGTTTAGTTGGCAAGTTTAATATTCCCCATTTTTTTTTTAAATGTTTTAATGGCTGACAGCATCTCAGAGAAGAGACATGTTTTGTCCGAGATCACCTTGATGGCCAAGGAGAAAAGCCAGACAGCAAAGTGTCAGCATCACCTTTGGCCAAGGACTCTGCTAGGTGCGAAAAGTCCTACTTCCAAGAGAAAAACCATGTAAGAAAGCCTGTGTTGCAGTTTCCTCTAATGGAAGAGGCTGGTATTTGATCTCAGATATGAGCAGTGAGGAGTAAGGTCAATCCACGCTTCCTTCCTCTTCCGACTAGGCAAAGACAAAGACGCACAAACCACAATCCTAGAGCCAGCTCCTACAGAGAGCTGAATGGCAAAAGCCTCGAGCATGGCCACCACCCTGATGACCCCCTAAAGTCAACAGGAATTGGCAACGCAGCTCCCCTCTGGGCCTTCGCAAATCTTCCCATAAACCCACATCTGATTTTTTTAGGGGGTGAATTCTACAAGGCAAAGGCATTTGTGTTGAGTCTGTCTACTGGGCTGCCGTTACAGGAAAGCTGTAAAATGAGATAGTTTATGTGAAATGCAGGATTAGGAGGAAAGATTGCTTTCTCAGAAGCTCAGACCTCTAAAATTTAGGTGTATAATGATGAAGGTAATCACCAAGGTTCATGTTGATGACATGAAAGAGGCACCTCCAGAGAACAATTTCTCCCATCCAAAGACAGGAGTGGGACAAGTTGTCCCCTAGAGATACTACAGCAGGACCTTGGGTGATCAGATTTAATGACACATCTAAAGCCAGGTAAGGCCATGGGTTATGGCACAGTATAATTGTAGGGATTTCTTTCTAGGGGGAAAAGTGTTAACAAAGAAATTGTAGGAATAGAAGCTCAGAAGAAACATCAAGACAGATGCATCTGTGTTTCCAGCACAAGACACAGAGACTGTTAGAGAAGCAGTTTGACTTAGAGGAGACGTGGTGTTTTGTCTGAAGACTTCCACTAGAGAAATAACAGCCCCTTGCTTTCTACCTCCAAGTTGGACTGAAAAAAGGATGTTTTCAAAGTAAGGCTCTACAGTCTTGCCAATACACATGTGAATCCCAGAGCTGCTGACACCCTGTGTGCAAGTCTTTTAGGAGAAAGCTCTCCACCGAAAGCCAGCAGGACATGACCTCCTCAAACACGTAGATGCTTTCTGGAAACCACAGTGACAGGGCTGGCGCGTGCAAGGGCTGGGGATCGCCAGCGACACCCGGGAGCCCAGCCACCACCTGAGACATAGGCAAACCTGGGCTACAGCTCACAGCACAGCTGCATGCTGGACTGCAGGTGAACACGTGCAATGACCACCAAAACACTTTCACGTAACATTGTGTGAGCTACCCATGGAGGCGTAGCTCTCTCAGCAGCTTCACGTTCTGGACAGAGACTCCTGTGTGAATACAACTAACCATCCATATCCAAAAATTACATACATGAACATTGCCTTGAATAAAAAGCAATCCTGAGTAAAGGCTGATACATTAGCGGATAAGCTGGTTAAAGCCAAAAGCTAGATCTGTTGTTCTCCAAGGATTGTCATGCTTTCAGCCTTTTGATTTGGAAAATACCAGATTTTCTGCTCCAGGCTAAACACTTCATTTCATTATCTTACCCTTCTCGGCGATGCATCTCGACGATGCATAGGGGAAATCACAACGTAAGGGGCACGGAGCAAGGGAGGTCAATGAGACACATCAGCACCGCTCCTTACCTGGCAGAGAAAAGGCTGCAGCATCTGCAAAAGGTGTCTACCTTCTCAGGGGGACATGCTTTCATTTCTGCCTCCACTGAATTGTGAAACTAGTTCAGCAAGCCATCTTAATAACGAAGGAAAATGTAGTAACGCTATTGTTACATGCAATTTATTTTATGTACACAGCACAGTTGGAAGTTCACACCAAAGAGAAAAAAAACCAAAAAACATCCCAGTATTGGTTCTGATTTTTAAAAGAGCCAACATCCATCTTCCCCCTGCTGAGTGCTGCTCTGCTGGCACTTTTTGAAAATTAAGCTTGCTTTTTTTTTTTCCAGGTATCTAAAGTGCAAGCTGAGCTCTTTTGAAAATCCAGCACCATGTATTTCACAGATGTATCATTTCTGATAATCTTGCATGTTATGCAGAAAAAAATAGCCTGAAACTGTGAGAAAGGCATGTACGTCTTGTCATTTCACACGCAGCTCCATCAGTCTAATAAAAAAAACCCTACTCACTACACAGCTTTTTTTTTTTTCCCTTATAGTATTCCCTTAACTCAATATCCTTGAGGAGCACCTCATTGATTTACAAGAAAGAAAGAAGAAAAAGGAGTTTCTGGTTTCAATCCATTAGCTGCTCACCAGGGGATCCAGTCTATTTTCTTTGAATATCAAATCCTCTCGAATGTGGAGCCACCGGCCAAAAGCGCGGGGACTCCTCAGAGAGGGGAAAAAAACCTACTGTGGGGTCTTTCACCTCTGCAAAGATGAAGCAGAAGCCAACAGCTCCTGAGCCAGGTGCTCACCTAGTATAAAATAAGCAGCTTTATTCAAAAGCCACCTTGTGTGTTGCAAAGCCCGCAACAAAACTTTCCGAAAACCGCCTAGAGAACGCAGGAGCTTTAATTCCCATTTTTCGAGCATGACTTACAGAATGTTGCATGCTCCTGTGCATCCAACGCTGAAGGACTTAAAGCAGCATAAGGCAGAAGCCAATTTTAAACAAAATCGGGTATGCAAACCAGCTGGTTTTGGGACAAAAAAAAAAATCAAGTTCTGTGCCAAAGGGCTGCAAAACAACTGTTCTCAAGCTCCAGTCCAGAGCTGCCTGGCTCACGTTACTGCAGCCAACTGGTAATTTCACTGGGCTCAGCTCAGCAGAGGAGATGCGTGTGGGTATCAACTGGGGCTTTGCAATAGGACTGTGCAATTCCCTGCAAGAAAAGGCACAACTAAGACCCGGGGGCAAACGACACTTGCAATCAGGATCCAGGCTGCACCTTGCCATGCAAGTGACCTGACCCCCGTGTTGGGTTTTGTGTGCACCACTGCGGCCGTGGCATAGGCACTCCCCGAGGTCATGGAGATACGTGCACCCGTGTGCTGTGGGGTGTCTCTGTTTCAAAATACTTGACACCACCCCCAGCAATGAGACAACTTTTATTCTTGTTTCAGGGAGAAGTCTCCCTTTTTCACTTCTCTTTCATTCACATAGGGCTGAAAATGGAAAGGGGCAGGAATTTGAATCACTTGCCAACACAGTACTAAGAGGCCAACCTAAGTTGACCAAAAAGTCAAGGAAATATAGGGGAAAATTGGTGTCGGCTCATCCCAAATAGCCTGTATACAGCTGCACGCATGCTGCTCTCTTACCACAGCTTTGCATGAAAGCCCAGCTGCAATGTGCCAGGGACAACACCGTATCCCCTTCCCTGCAAGATCCTCCATTTGCAAGGGTTGAATTCACGGTCTCCACATTGTAAGAAATATATTTAAAACATTTTATTTACAAACAGAACTACTTATACACCATGGACTAGTTTGTCAAACACAGTGTAGACTAGGACTGGATTGCCACATAAAATACAACCCCCCTCACCAGCCAGTTAGACATGCAAGCAAAAGGGCCAGGTTCCTGAAAGATCTCTGTGGCTGGCAGCCATCAACCTACCACAGATATTTTGTATTTCATCTCCCATCCAGGCCAGATTTCACCACTCTTCTTCATGTGGTGTAACTCTACAATTGCCCATGCAGACTGGGGCTACTCACGGAGTTAGTTAGTTGTCAGTTTGAATGAGGGGAAAGAAGAACAACCTCAAAGACCTTCAGAAGATGCTAAAGAGAGAGGAATCCACTTGCTAGGGACTTTTGCATAAAATGAGGACTTAAAAATTTTTTTTTAAGAGTTCATCTGCTCATATTCATTATTCCTGTCCTACTTGATTATGAGATGAGAATTGGTTTGTTCAGAACCAGATGCAGTATCACAGTCTCAGGACTAAGATTTCAGGTTAAGAATAAGCATCTGGAGCAGGTGAACTCTTAAATGCTCTTCATTCAGTATAACTTTTAATAAATAATTTATTTTATTTTAGAAGAAAAAAATATACAATGCAAAGCAACACAACACATATTATTACAAATATTCAGAGCTCTTCATCTAATAACAAACAACAGGGTGTCCTGAGATTCAATGAGTACAGATCTTTCAAAAGGTGGAAGTATGTAGTCCACATGGTTAGTAATTGGTCCAGTCAAGGGTCAGACTGAAACTCATGTCATGGATCTATCTATTCTTGAGTATTGTCCTGGTAATGTTATTCTTGCAGTGGATTGAAAGAGCTCCAGACACACTCAAAGTCACTAGGTGGTCCACAAGTTTAAAGAGCAGGTCTGGTCCACTGGAAAGGCTGCCTTCAAGTCTGATATCCAGTTGGAAAGAGGGGGTGGAGGGTGAGGCTCCACTTTTCACAAGGTGATTCGTCCCTTTGCAAGAATTAGAGCTAATTGTAGAAATCACTCTTTGTTTGAACACATACATTTTCAGGTCTTTGCTTAAGCAGGCAGAGCTCAGGACTTGGGGCGATATTCACCAGTTTTAGCTTTTTAATCTTTTGCTTTCAGAAATTTGTCACTACTACTACTCTTTTCTGGAACAAATGCATCAAGCTGTCAGTTTGAAAGAAGCAGGGCGGTAACTGGGATTTTGCTTTGCATGCCAGGGGGGGATTTAAAAAAAATGCTGAACATGTACCATCTCAACCAGGTCCTGTAAAGAGGCCACAAGCTGCGTGCCCACAGTCACCAGTCCTGTCAGCGTTATGGCCAACCCCTCCTACAGCACTATTAATTTTTTTTCAGTAGCTTTTAGGAGGTCTTTACATTCATCATTTTTTTTTTCCCTGCCTTTTCTGGCAGTGATTATCCAGTTCTCCTTTCTCCATCTAATTTCCACATCTGTCTCCTATGCAGTTTGAATTTGGGGAAGATCATTTTGGATGGTATTTGAAGGCAACCTCTTAAATTGTAAAGAATGTTTTACTGATGTCATTTGGGGAAAGCAAGCTACTTTCAGATGTTCAGATCATCTTTTCACCCGATCCCCCCAAGTCCCAGCTCTGGAATATACTGAACAGTTGCCTCTATTAAATATGACAAGGAACATTTAACCTGAATTCTCCTTTGCAGAGTACAAAATGTTTTGTTGTTCCCTTTTGTGGGGAGAAAAAATGAAAACTTACAGAAAACCAAAGCCCCAATACATTAACCTTTAAAGAACTTTGCTTGTTCCGGTGTTTATTTTCTGGAGAACCCATGAGAGTCTCAGCTCAGGAGCCACTTCTCTCCCTTACTTTGTTGATTTTAAGGGCAACCTACCAGTTTACATCAGCCTGAGCACGTGGTTCAGGTCTTCAACACGGGACACCTTTCCTCTTAAGCCACTATGATGGTTTCTCCTTTTTTAACAGCTGAGAATCTGGTCATTTTTCTTTTTTCACTATATCTGAGAGGGATGAAAGAAGTCTTGATTTGGATGGCTCGTTGGCTTTTTAATGAACTGTCCACAGTTCCTAAAAACAGACCCGAGTGGGGTCAAGCCTTCTTGCTAAGCCACCACTACAACACAAAGGTGCATGGGCTGAGCTGTTCAAGAACCAAGCCTGACCCATGCAAGCATCTCTGTCCAAGGCAGCTGCGGGGCAGAATTTATTTGCTGGCATGGATAACTAACTAGTTGGAGTTAGTTTCAACCTTTTCTCAGTTTCAACCGAAATGAAAGATGGATTCATGAAATATCATCTCCCAGCTTAAAACAAACAAAAAAAAAACCCAAACAAAACAAAATAAAACAAACAAACAAAAAAACCCAAAAAACCCCAAACAAACAAAAAAAAAACCCAAACCAACAAAAAACAACAAAACCCAGAAGCTCCCCAGGCTCCCAGGCATCAGCTCCTCTGCACTGCTCTGCTGCCATAAAAGCCTGGAAGAAAGCTGAAGCTGAGCAGTCAGACATTGTCTCCACTGAGGCCAGTAAATGACCAGAGCAGGATGACATCTGTGCTATAAAGAACATACTGGGACCTGGTGGAGGGGGCCTTAGAGGCGGTTTGCAGCTGGTGAGGGTCAGAGCCCCTCTGGCGGCTATAATCTTATTTAAAGACTTTTAAACCAACTTGCCTTTCTGGCTAGACTGTACGCATTGGTTTACTGCCAATCAGAAAAAACATTTTGAAGTACTTTTTGGGTAGCCTGAAAAGATTTTGGGGGATACTTCTGAAATTTCTGGAATACCAAAGAATAAATATAGGGAAGTATTTGAATCTTTAAGTCAAATTAAGGAGATAATTTCACAATCTGAAATGTTTCACTCCAGAAAATGGGAGATTTGTCAGTGGGATGGGATGCTAAGACTGTGTCAGCACAGAGAGATACTAAGACTAATTTACTGTCAAAAATAACCATTAATTTGGGCTTGAACTTAACATTTTCTCTGACCCAAACCAAAGCATTTCACTTCTGAGCATTTCTTTTAGAGCTCTTGAAATTGCATAAAATTCTAAAGAGGAACAAACTGGAAGCTTTTGTGAAACCTAATTTTCTTCTTTGAGATGACTAATTCAGCCAAACAGCAACAAGTCTGTGATATACTTTAGGCTATCTGCATTTTCTACCAGAACTTGCTCTGGTTATAAGACCGAGGTGGCACAGTAGAGGGAAATGCTCCGTTTTCCTTTTCTCTTAAATTACTGCCTCATCCTATCCCTCCTCTTCCCACTCACCCTCTGGCTAGGTCTTTCTGCCGCGTGGACTCTGACCACCATGGGGCTGGACCTCTTCCTTGGTCAATGTTTGTAGATCACCAATCTAAATGGAGCCCCAAAGCCTGGTGTTTCTGGGCACTGCCAGATGAGCAGGTAAGGAACCGTGGAGTCCTCAAAAGCCAAAGCAACATGGCACATCGTTGCAGGACTAGGCTGCGAAACCGCAGGTAAGGGTCTCGGGCACCCAAAAAAGTATCTAGGTAGAAATTCATGCACCCTGACTCCCTAGTCGCTGGAGAGGATTTAATCCCTAGCTCAGGGTTTTCACATGAATGCCTGAAGATAGACTGGATGAGTCCAGGTGTAAGGGAGAAATATTGGTGATATGAGTGGAGCAAATAAAATGTGAGCGAGAGCAAATACGCTCCCGCGCTCCCTCCATGCACGTAATGCAAAATTGAACTCTGTGGAGGTGTTACCAGCCTGCATCATGTGCAAAGGACCTCCTGCCCTGTACGGTGAGCTCCACAGCAAGCCCTGGGCAGACACGTGAAATGCTGCAGTTCTGTGGGGTGTGGGGATTTTTCTTGTTTTATTCCTAATCCTTGGCACCAATTCTGTATGCGCACTGGCAATCTGCATGTGGTTGGAAGAGCCATGACCTTCTCCAAAGCAGCAGGTAGCATAATCCTTCCCATTCTGCCTTAACACCAGCAGTAAACTAAGCTCAAATTAACCCAGCTAGAAAGGCAGGCTTTGGGACGAGGTTGAGGAAGCGTCAGGAGGAAAGTACAGACACAAACACAAGCAAGGCAGGCAATTAAAGGTGGAGCATAACAAATCAGCAGCGCCGAGGCATTTGCAGTCATTTGAGTGCTGTCACCCCAACTGCAGTCATATCCACATGCAAAAACCAAGGGCACATTCAGAAGGAAGAGTCTCGGCCAAGGAGCCTGTCGCCTAGAGCTGTGGGTTTGCTGATGCTCTTCTGTTGGCATTGGCTGTATCTATGCTTATTTCTGTTGAATACTATTTCCTTGCCTTACTGGGCTTGACTGTCCACTTGCTATCTCCAGATAAACCGTGAAACCAGCTAACCCAGTGTAAAGCCAGTATACCTGTCACGGTTTAACCCCAGCTGGCAACTAAGCACCACAGAGCCGCTCACTCACTCCCCCCAGGCAGGAAGGGGGAGAGAATCAGAAGGAATACCTCAGTGGGGACTCCAGCTCTTATACATTTACTGGTAGAGTGGGTTTTTTTATTTGTTGGTAAGCCCAAATAATCAACTGCTATTACGTCGAGAGGACAACCTAGCAATTATTCAAACTGAAGCATTAATTTCTGTGAGTAAAGGAGCCAAAGTACCAGCTGCCAATGTAGTGACCGTAAGTTTTAGTCTTGCCTGCACTTGTTATCATCAATACAAATGCTAAAAGAGAAACTGCTGACTGCAAACAAAGGGTAATGGATTCTCTTTCTGCAGCCTCATCCCTACATATTTTTGAATTGTTTGTCTTCCCCGCCTCTGCAATTCCAACACATGAGGTGAAAATGATCTGGGCACTACTCACTCTAGGGTCACCTGAGCCACAGCATCCATTGAACTGTATCCATTCTCCATGAAGATCTCCGTGTATCGGCCCATTTTGATGGCTTCCAGCCACTCACCCACCGACCTGTAGGCACTGCTCCCGACTGGACTGTGCTCTACCAACAGATTTGATACTCTAAAGACAAACAAAAACAGAGAAGCAAACAGAATCAATATCGAGATGTACCCAAGGTGACTCAGTTGCTCGCATTTTTATATGGTAAAGGTGACTCTTTCGTTGCTTTTTCAGTGATTGCTGCAGCCTAAATTCTCCCAGCAGGCTTGATACACAACGTATCAAACATACCACTTCACCTGTAAGTTCACCCACTTTTGAGTTAGTTCCTGCCATTTCTGGTCCTCACTGCAAGCAGAAAGAGGAGAGGACTAGCGTCCATCCCCATTACCTCTTGCCCACAAGCAGGCTCCTCTTCTACCAGTCATTCCTACTTCAAAGTCTTCGGTTTCACTCCTCCCGCTCTGTCGTCCTCCCCCTCCTTTAAAGCTCATAATTAACTTAAGACAGCCCAGAGCCTGGAAGCCGAAAGCCAAATTACATTTCCCAGCAGCGGCCATCAATGGCAGGCTGCTGTTAACACTTCAGGGGCGGCTCCCGCAGAGTCAGGTGGGGATTTCTGATGCGGGCAGCATCCAGCGTGCCCTGCAGAGAGCAGCAATGCTCCAACCACGCTCCAGCCCTGAAACCAGAGGTAGACCCCTGCTCCTGTACCCTTGCTCAAGACCTCACCGCAGCAATTGCTACGTGCTCGGTTATGCCACGCACGGGAAAAGCAATTCAGGCAAATAATAACCCTTCACCGCGGCAGAAACACCGATGCAGTACCTGGCACAAGTGACCCATGCCACGTACAGGTCCACCACCCTACTAATGATGTGCAGAGAGCAGAGGGGGCTTCTCCAAGGTCAGCCAGGAAAGAAACTAGATTTGTCCCCTGCTTTGTACACCAGGACATACAGCTTAACATAAGCCTTGCATAAAGATTATTACCCACAGGTAAAAAAAAACGTTTTCTGGGTCAGCCTCTGATGGCAAGAATTACACTTAAAAGACTTTCAACTGGAAGGAGAGCTGGGATATTATATTATTATAGCACTTCAGGAATCTTCATATATTTTATGAGCACATTAGTATTATTTGTTTATTTAATAGCAATGCTGAAGGGTCCAATAAAATGTGAATACTTGCACTACCCAGAACATAATGGCTTCCCATAACATTTTATACACATGAGGAATTCAAAACTCCTAAGTAATCATAACGAGAAGTGGATTTTCATCACTAATGTCAGGAGGTACCTACTGATATGCACACGCTGTAATGTAGAAAGTGACTTCCTCCCTTATTTGCATTAATGAGAATTTCCATAAAGAATACATTACATATATAAAAAAATCCTTTACAGCTGCTGTATGTTGAAATTATGATTCATTCTGAATTACTACGGTCTGGGCATGGCTATCTATGGTTATAGAAACACAGTCCCAAAGCCTGGCTGTTCAGGTGCTCCATCCACATCGAAAATACCCACAGCAGCTCTGAAAAGGAGAGGTTTGGAATTGCATGGACCTGTTCATGGAATAAAACATCAGCAAAGTGCTTAGCAGCTCAAGGAAATGGTTTGCTCCCCATTTTCCTCTTTTTTGGCATAACAATTTGGTATAAAAGAGCGCATGAACCACCGCATAACAAGCCTGGAAAACGACTGTTCTGAACTGAAAATAAAAGAGAAACATCACATATTTTATGCTATCAGAAACCTTTTCCTGCAAGTTTGCTGTGACTGACATTACATCTAATTGCTAATAAGAGTAATTTCTTCTTCAGATGCTAAATGATGTATGTAAAATAGCCCGAGGACTGAGATCTATCTTGTATTTAAAAATTAACAGAGATTTCATGTTTCTTCTCTTCCAGTGCATGAGATGCCATGTGCAGGGACATACCAGCACGGGGATGTGAGGTCCGGCTGCAACAGGCGAGATGGGCCACATGCAGGTGTGCAAGACTCACTTGGAAAGTGAGGAGACAGACGGGTCTAAGCTCACAACACTACATCTACTTTGGTCCACACCACCAGTCTAACCTCATCTTACATCCGTCTCATTCCTGTCCAAGCAAAATGACGTGTCTTTTTTTTCCTCCTCTGAGAATAAGCTTTTCTGAAGGGCCTCTTCCAGTGTTAATCAGGGAAACGCCACTGCCATCAGCGAAGCAGCAATGATTTATATTCATCACTCCTTCATGACCTTGCAAGGGACCTAGTGATTAGCAACACAGATGGCTCAGAAGTAATTCTTGTGTGCTTACAGTGAAAAAAGAAAAAGCCCCCCAAGACTTCAGTATGGTGGAAACCCCAATACTAAAACTCACTAAAAAATATGAATCTCTTTTTCCCCAAGTGTGGCTTTATTTCTTGACCATATTTACCTTACTTGTAGCCATGTAGCTATTCAGATTCAAGCTTAATTGCACACCAGCTGCTCTATTCACTTAATGTGGTTTTAGCAAATGGTTTGTGTACAGCTTTTTGGGAACCACAGAGATCCTCTCGCGATTACCAAGACTGTCAGAACTGGCGGTGGCAGCTAGCACACCTGGGAATAGTTGTGGGAGGATGCATTTGGACATCCACGAGGTTTGCACACCCTAAGAGTTTCCTCAAGAGACACTCTTCATTTGTATTACCAAGATAAAGTCAACAGGCAGATAATTTGAGCGGCATTTACTATCTACTTCATGCACTCAAGTCTTGCTCTCTTTAACCTTGGGGTAGAGCACAGGCAGCTTTATCATAGACCTATAAATACTGCTGAAACTCCCATTTCTGAAAGACAGGCCATAGTAATTTTCTTTGTGGCAGCAGCACTGCATTTATAGAGTGACTGAATTGCTCACCTGCCTGCCAATTTCAACAGAAAAAGATGATTTGGGAAAACTCCCCTGGACATAATGAAGCTGGAGGAACATCCACCCATGGATGCACACAGGCTAAATAATAAATGGTAATTCAACCCCAGGGGTGGGTATTCAGACAAGAATCTCGGTCTGAAAAATGGCGCTGGCCCGAGTTTGTACCTGCTCGATGCATTAACCAATGTCTTCAAGCTGCTTGGGTTACGGATGAGCTTGTCCAACATGCTGACAATTTCGTCAAACTTGGGCCTGCTGTTGCGGTCTTTCTGCCAGCAGTCGAGCATTAGCTGGTAGAGAGCAGCAGGGCAGTCCATGGGACTTGGCAGACGATAGCCTTCCTCCACGGCTTTAATCACCTACGGGAGACAAAACACAAGGCTGATGGGTTGCTTTTCTTCCTCTTGCCTTTTTCCCAAATGCAAATTGACTTAAACAGAGAACTTTGGGATCAGCAATATGCTCATGGAAAATCCCACCACCCCCCAACTCTGCACACAAGAGGCAAACCCAGTAAACCCCACTATCTTTCATACTTTCTATGGGATGGGTTGAATAACTTAATTTTTGGTCACTGTAAAATGAATCGAGAAAGTCAAGGCACTGCTGCAACCAGGGGGCCAGATTGCCAGGTTGCACTTGTTCAAATCTCAGCTGAGGTCTGTAGGTTATATACCAGGAAACTCCCGGAGCCTACCCTAAGTCCACGAAAAGCAGCCTACAGGGCTTTCTGGCATCTTCTTGGAGTGCAGTGATTTTGTTTATTCAGATGTTGGCTTCTTTTTAAATGAAAAGGCATGTGCTAGACCACAAATTTGTATTACAGTAATAAAAGTCTGACTGTATTTCAAAAGAGACTTTGAATGCTAATTGATGGATGGATTCAAGGCAGAGGCAGAACAACCATCTCATATATCATTCAATACTGTCTGGGTCTAGTCGCTTCTTAGTGTGGCCACATTTCTGCCAGGAATTTAAAATGTCAGCCCAAGAGTATGTAAATTAAAACCAGGGGAGGGTTGTTGCACTGATTTCAAATACAAACCATCTATGGTTCTATATCTCAAACAACTGGTATGCACATGTGCTGCCTGCCCGCTTGAAAGGCAGAAATGAATAAATGAGGGCAGAATTGAAGAAAGCAACTTGTTTTCCCCAGTTTGGGGCAGATTTACAGCAGGGCGCCAAGCCCAGCAGTACCCATTTTGAGCCATTACAATTTTCAGGAGAACACAGCTCACGTTTCAAGCCACAAGGGTCTGCAACCGCACCAATAAAGTCCTAGCGGCCCATCTTCACACCCTCTACTCCCAAGGCTCCTTGACCAAAAGGAGCTGGAAGCAGCTATTTGCTATGTGGAAAACCACAGCGCTTCACTGTTGGATTCCAAGGACTGCCTCAGATGCTGCTCATTCTAGGCACCGTCTCACGATTTGAAAACATCCCGTGTTTAAAAAGAAGGCTCTGTGGTTAGCATGGAAGTTGTTTTCTTGACCTTTAGTCCCTGTACAAGCAGTAGAAGAAGAGCCACGTCAGGCTGGCATTGCATTTCAGAAGGCTCCGAAATTCAGGACCGCATGGATAGCTTTCAAATTGTCCTCCACCACAGGGCTTTTTGCCAAGTGAAAGAATCCCAGGAATGAGCCAGGCTGACTGGGCAGCAGTAGCGGGGACCTCAAACTCCCTAAGGACGTACGTAGTAGAGAAGACATTAGGCGAGGCTTTGTAATCTTCTCCAAGGGTAGCGAGTACGTCTGAAGATCTGGCCCACAAGACCTGCAGTCCTTTTGCACCCATCTAAGATTTCATCTGTCGGTGGAGCAGTTGCACCACCATCCACCCAACCTGCACGTGCAAAGCAATCTCTTCTATGGCCTGGCTTTTGCTAGCAGCGCCAAAAACCAGCCCCACCACACTATGCTATCTGCACTGTCTGTTCTTCATATCATGCTTTTCGGCTGGTCCCTGATACCAAATTTGCAGCTGCCCTACATAAAAAAGCCTCAGTGCGGCACAGCCACGAGAAGGTTATTTGCTGTGTCCGTGTCTGTATTTATAACAATAACGGATCATCCTCCAGCTGTAGCAGAAAGAAAATAGTAGCAAGACAGGGAGCAGACCATCTGGCACCAGCTCAGAATATCTGAACTACATCTGCAACGGGGTTATGCATGTTTGATATTCCTGGCAGTAACATCACAATCAATAGCGTTAACTCAATTTACAGGATGTCGTTTGTTCTGGCGATACGATGTAAATGGTATCAAAATACTGTGAGGAGCTAGGATGCTGAAACACACTCTTGCATCTGAAGGTGCCTTGGGGTTCTGGCAATAAGAGGAGCAAAAGAATGAAACAACAAAGACTGAGTCACTTGTAGCCATCACAATACTTAGAAAATAAGAAAATGGCACATTCGCTGTTCCATTCATTGGTGCATACTGCTTTGTAAGACTTGAAAAGCTAAAATTTGCACCTCTAAGGAGGCATTTTTGTCCCTGTCCCTCTTCTGGATAAGCACTACTCACTTATGGATTGGGGTGACTGAACTGGATGTTTGGGAGCGGACGATTTGCGATAGTCTATTCCAGTAAACCAAAGCAACACTTTTAGCTCTGTGTTTTCACAAAACCACCAGTCTGAAGACTAAAAAGCAACCATTGTGATCATTTAGCTTAGCAACCTGTGTAACACAGGCCACAAAATTCCTCTCAACAATTCCTGCATCAAAGCCTTATCTTGTGGTAGAATCAAAACATATTTTTCGAAGGCCATCCAGAAACCAGCATGACTTTAAAACGTGGTTTTTAGCCTTTGCAGTTACAAGACTGCCTGCCCTACGGCACTGCACCTCCTTTAAAGCAATCCAGCTGTAACATGGTGAGAATCTTTTTGCTCATCACCAACTGCGCTTGCAAACTATGTGCTTTAATTACAAGCCATGCAACAAGAAACTCTTGTGCAATGCAGTCTGAAATTCATGTGAGCAGAGCCCCCTAGTCCTCTGCACGAGGCGTATCTAACACCACTGATTCTTCTGCCAACACAAGCAGGGGAGGAAAGAAGAAGAGGAGGCCTTCAGAAAATGAAGGAGGAAGGCATAAATTGCATGAGAAACATGCCACAGCACTGAATTAAGTTTCCTAGGCTACCACCATCCAGGCAGAGAGGTAACCCAAGCAAAGCCTGAGCAGGAACTGATGCTCACAAACATCTCATCACTGCTCTGTTATCTGCTGCTAATGAAACCAGTCCCTCATCTGCTTCTTCTCAGGCAAGTGTGAAACTCACTCTGTGCCCCACAGTGCACAGAGGCATTTGGGCTTTTCAGAACAGTTCTGCAAAGCACGCATGTTCATAGCGTCACGATCCAGACAAGGGACTCCCCTGGCCACGGGGCATTATTTCACTGGCACCAGTCTGAATCTTAGCCTGACATTTACTGAACAACATCTGTGCTATGCCAGTGCATCAGCATTAAGGATAGTTATAGTGCTTAGTGTGACCAAAAAAGCTTGGCTCTCAATTGCTGCATTCTCTGCACAGTCTATGGAAGAAAGTCGCTGTATTTGATTGAGATAAATCCCTGAGTAGATACATGCTGCTCTACCAAACTCCCTGCAAACTTGACAGCCACAGCAGTGCAGAAGCAGTGGGGCATTCATGCCAAACAACGCACTCATCTCCCTGGCAAGAAGCACAGTGTGACCGTCTCAAAGGTACTGCTGGACTCGAAGCAAGATGAGACAGCAGCTCAGCGTGACAGGTAGTAACATCCACTGATGGCAAAGGCCCGCAGACAAAACACAGGAGAAACGGAAGGCTCAGCCAGAGCCTCTGCTGCCAGCGAAACAGCAGAAAGTCATGGGGACAGGGATGCTGCTCAGAAAAGAAAAAAAGATGAAACATCAGGTGTTGTGACCAGAGGAAACCCATGGCAGAGCAAGGACCTGCTTGCTTTGCCCAGCCGGCAGCAGCATCTCCGCAGGCGGCAGTGCTGCAGAGATGAAGTGGGAGGGATGAGGAACGACTCCGTTTGCCACACACAGAATGGTGCATTTTCCCCTCCATCACAGAGCTGCTTTGGGGTCCCCGTGTGCCTCATGGTGACCCCGACCTCATGCACTAGCTGGCATCCTCAGAGACCTCCACACATCATGGTTCTCAGAGGTGTGAAGAGGAAAGAGAGGCCTAGAAAATCTGGCAACCACAGGCTTCATTTTTTTTAGGCTTAGACAAGGACAGATGTTTATGGTGAGCTCAGGGTAGGAGGTAGCCCTGCAGTAGGATCAAGAGATCCTTATATAGGCTGGGATCAGAGCTGCAGTCAGGAGGGGTACAGTGTCCCCAGGCATCTCCCTGCTTGGAGATGCTTCAGAGGGTGGCCTTGAGGTCAGAGGCTCAAGGGGGCACTGGGGCCCAGGAGCAAGGGGACACAACTCAAAGGGTGCTGTACAAACGAACCATGAGAGCTTGTGTTAGCACAGACTTACAAGATGTTCACAACAGGAGCAAAACTATGCTCTTGAGATCAGCAATGCAAGGGCAACCGAGGTGCTGCTCTCTGGACTGCTGTCACTAGATCAAATCACCCAGCTTTTGTGCAGGGAAACAAAGCCCTTACCATGACTCTCTTGAGTTTCTGCTTTACATGGCAGCAGGGGTTTGAACACATAATTGAAATGCTGCCAGTTTATCAGCATCTATCCCCTGGCAGACCTTTGTCATTAAGCAGAGGAGGGACAGGCTCCAGCTCTAACAGCATTAGTGAAGCTCCAATGGTCTGCTAGGGGAAGCAGGCTTGCCTCTGCGCAGGCACATTTGCTTCTGCGCACAGCCTGTTCTGGGCTGCTGCTGCAAAAAAAGAGCATCAAATGGGAGGATCATTGGATCGTTTTTGTCTGGCATGGGGGAGAAAAGCCATTTTTACAGCGGCTCTCCTCTTGTCCCAGTCCTGCCTCTCTGATGGCAGAATGAATGCGGCACCCTCAAAGTCCCATCACGCAGCAGCTCTCGCACGTGCTTACATCTTGGTTTGTCATTTCCCAGTAAGGCCTCTCGCCGTAGGACATCACCTCCCACATCACGATGCCGTAGCTCCAGACGTCGCTGGCTGATGTGAATTTGCGGAAGGCGATTGCTTCGGGTGCTGTCCATCGGATGGGGATCTTCCCTCCCTAGATGGAACAAAAAGGAAAAAAACTCAAAAACCAGATTGCAGAGAAGGGCAGAGAACATGCAAAAGAGGACGAAACAGCACTTTTTAGAGCACCAAGGGATGTTATTTTCTCTCTGGAAAGAGACATCGAATTTTAAAGTAAATCTGTTTGACAGCATGGGGCCCCTTTCCACATTATCTCAGCCCATAAGCATTTGTAGGCTGCCTACTAATTGGCTGTCCTGAAGGTTTGTTGTTTGAATGCTGGGACATGTATAGGATCAACATCTCAATTATGTTGCACGGGTTGGTAGGGGAATACAGTTCCTCCATTTCTGAGAGTGAGCGGGGGAGGAACAGACAGCTCTGAAGCCAAGGAAGACTTTGATCTAACGAGGGCTTCATGCAAATTGCTGCAGAAGTAATGCCCTTTTATTCTTTCTTTCTTTCTTTCTTTTTTTTTTAATGCGGTCCCAATCCTGCCAAGACCTGTGTAGCGGGCACGGAAGTCTGTGTGTGCAAAGACCAGCCTGCTTGGCCTCTGCTGTGGGACTGAAAATGATACCACAGCTGTCAAATGTGCTTTGCTGTTTCCTTTTCCCCTTTCTACCATTTTAGAAATCAAACTTCAGACCAGCTCTGAGAAGGAAGAGGGGAGGGAAAAGGGAGTTTGGATTAAGGAATACTTTTCTCATAGGCTTTAAAGAGTTGTCTCCCTTGATTTATATCAAAATATATTTTACCTGTGAAGTCCCTTCCTCTCAGTGTTGAGCTAAATATTGGAAGGTCTCCCTGAATGCCCCCTAACAGCATTTGTTATTGAAAAAAGGTAGAATTTGGAACACATTTTCAAAGCAGATTTCAAAAAGTCCCTTCTTCCAATAATTATTTATTCACAGGCTTATCAGTGCATGCCTTAAGTGAGGGGCCAGATTCTCAGCAGTGCCAATTAGCACATGGCAGCACATTGCAGCCGCAGCAGGGCTGGCTGAGAGCCCTCCAGCCTGCAGGGAGGCTCCGGTCCAGCCGTGCACCGAGCCCCATCGCGGGGCCGTGACTGCCAAGAGCTGAAAGGCTTTTCCCACATCTCCACGGGAACTGGGAACGTGACTCAGAGAGCTCCCACCATCCGTAAAACAATACCCTTGGAAAAACACGCTAATAGGACACGTCCAGGCATGCCAATCACTGCCATGAATATTGGAGGCTCTCTCCAAGCCTATGCTGCTGAGGATGGGTCCTGTCCAACCCCTCTCTGCAGTGCTGGGACCACGTGGCCTCACACTGGGATGGGTGGGCTGATGCCCTGGAAAGGATGGATCAAGCACTGAGGTTGGAGCAGGCTCTTTCTCAAGTTGGGGGAAATTACCCTCAACAGTGTAACGTTGAGGGCAATGTGCGTCATTTGCAATGGGCATTACACGCTTATCAATATTTTAAAAGGGTCCAGAAGACCACAGCTTACATCTCTGCATGGGTACCTAAGCAAAGCACTTGCTCTTGCTCTTGCTCTTTCCTCCCTTTGGTATTCACCAAAGAGGACAGAATAGAGTTGGGAGCGGCACCTTTGCAAAGTTTGCTATTTGACTCAGATGCCCAACATGAACTTAGAAGTTATTAGTTAAGTTCTGCCTTATTTGGCCATCCCCACTACAAAGTTACAGGCATTTACAAAATTAATCTGATAACGATTAACTGGTAACACATGTCCAAACCCTCATGCACGGTTTAGAGGCTCTGGATTTGTAGAAACCTCTTTGCTAGAGAGCCTGAACACCAAAATGTGCCAGGGAATACATTTTTCTTGAGCTCAATCAGTTCGGTATCCTCATAACTCACCCTGGTAGTGTACGCGGCTTCAGGGTCATCTTCTAGGACTCTGGAGAGGCCGAAGTCTGACACCTTGCAGACTAAGTTGCTGTTGATTAGGATATTCCTGGCAGCCAGATCTCTGTGTACGTAACCCATGTCAGACAGGTACTTCATTCCTGATGCGATGCCTCGCAGCATCCCGACCAGCTGAATGACCGTGAACTGCCCATCGTTCTTCTGCAAAAGGAAGGAGATATTTGATCAGCTGAGAGTCTCTGCACCCTCAGCATTGCGTGTGCATGAATAAAAATGCAAAGGCAAGTCTCCAGGGAAAAAAACAGTGAAATTAATAATTCATTACTCTCATGCTCTGACCACAAAGCTTTTCAAAGTTTCACTGTTTGGATTAGGATCTCTGGAGACAAAGCTAAGGAAATGTAGTTCTTTTAACTGGAGATCAAGGAGTGAGCTATTTCCACTGGTGACTGATAAAGAGACTGTGACTGGGAATGAACACATGTAGTTATGTGTATAAAGGCACTGTGCTGGGCTGTCTCTGAGTCAGCCAACTGAACGGCACCAAATTGCATAGAAATCATACCTGCTGAGGTCCACATGTGAATATTTGGGGATAGGGGCTCTTCCTTATGTTGCCACACCACATTTCTAACCACTTCCCCTATCCTCCCTTCTCTAGCTCTTACGTTTCATGGAAAAACTCTGACAAGTCTGGGGTTTGCCATGATGCAGTGTGGATGTGCTCTTGAAACACATCAAATTTTGCAGGGCAAGTTAATCATTTCCATGCAGCAGACTGCCTTCTAAAATAAACATAATATCCTCCAATTTATTCTTATCTGTTTGTATCAATGCACAAACCAGGTCCTTCATGATGCTGTATAAATATAGATCAAACAGACAACTGGGCTACTCCTGCCTCCAGAGAGCATCAACAACTGGACGAGCACCCAGCAAACATTTTCACTGATATTAACCATCTGCAAAGAACTCAAACTTTAACCAAGGTCCCCCTGGAAAAAGGATCTAAGTATTACCTTTAAAAATGTATCCAGAGAACCGTTCTCCATGTATTCCGTCACTATCATTACTGGTTTGCCTGGAAAAAAAAGTACATGAGTTTGTTAGCAATTTATCTAAAAAACATGAACAATAATAAAGTCTTTTTGTAATGTGTCTGAATGTGAGTATACAGCCATGCAACAGTAAATCTACACTGAGACACTGCTGTCCCAGCAGGATGACAATAGTTTTTGCCAGAATATATGTAGAAATAGGGGAATTGAGGAGGAGGGGACGAAAAAGTAATCCCATATTATGGGTGGGGTACCAAGCCCTAGAGTGTTTAGATGATGTTTGAGGAAGAGGTTGCAAGCTGAACCCAGGCAACCTAGGCACAACCTTCTCCTCGTCTCTGTGAACAAGCTGAAAGCTTGCAGAGGCCAAGTTGCACACAGCGACCTCTTTGGACTCCTCCCTATAGCTTCAACACCCTGAAGTAACAATGGGAGCCCCACAGGAGCAACCAGGATGATCTGAAGTATCTATCTGAGCTTGGTAGCCACCAAAACCAAGACCAGGAAAGGATGGGATTACATCCCTTGTAATTCAAGTAATCTCATGTGACTACCCTTGTAAACACATCTGGAAGTAAGAAAAGGAATATTTATGCTGCAGAACAAAAGCCAGTTAAGTATGGAATGAGTGCAAGTGGAAATCAAAATAAAAGTTCTTAACAAAAGACCTGGTCTCCTATTGTTGACAGGGATAATAATGTTTTTCCAAATCCATTTGATTAATTTTCATGCCCGAGTCATTTTAATGGTAATTATATAGTTTTTGCTCAGTTTTTATATCTAATTTCTCGCTAGCTTGCCACAATGACATAGCAATAATTAATGTGGTGTGCTCCAGCTCTTGTAAATTCAATGAAATCTTATAAGAACATGTAAATTATTTTTTATTTAAATCAATTTCCATTAGCTAGCATGAAGCACAGACAAAAGAGGAGCTGTCAATTATTTATAAAGTGCATTATAAATGTCTTTCATAGAAATGATCAACGAGAGCTGCCGTGTGTCATAACATGCGCATGAACGTAAATGCTCCTAAAAGTCGGCGCATGTTCTACCATTTAGATTGATCTTAATCTTCCCACTTTCCCATTACCTTAACTATTTGCCTAATTTACTGCTTAATTATCTACATAATAAAGGCAATTGTGAACTTGTCAATCAAAACACTCATTGTTGTGCAGATACTACCTTTGCAGCTTGAGGGACCTGCACTGCTTCAATTCTTTTAAGTTAATATCACAGCTACTGCCTGAGCTTGAAGCTTGCCAAAAGTATTACTTTTGATATGAGAAATGCACCTCGGGGCCATGAAAAATATCGTTGAGTCCCAAACAAAATAACAGGCCCCGTCTTCAAGGATGACAGCTGTCTGTCTATGCACAACATGGGCTGCGTGCAGGAGGGAGGAGAGATCTTGGGTGATGTTGCTATAGGTTGGCAAACACGTCAGTGGCTAAGCAGGGAAGAAAAATCCCAGGTATATCTAAATTTTTTTAAAATTTTTTGTTTTTAAACATTAAACCCCTGACTGTAGCATGAGGTCCCTTATCTCTGACATTTCAAGGCAGCATTGAAGCGAGACTGGCATCTCGTTACGCCACCACCCTGGGGGACCTCCTTCAGACTCCTGCCTTTGGTTTCCATCAGAGAAAAGAAAATACGATTTCTGGCACTTATGTTTCATTATCTGACTGCTGCAGGTTGACAGTAATTGTGGAATAAATTACCCCATATCCAAGAGCATGGAAATAAAGACACAAATAGAGTAACTTCAACAAAGTAAATTAAAAGTAAACATCGGCCCTTCTAAAGTGCTGGGCTGATTCTCCATGTCAGCAGGGCTCCCTCCCGCTGGCATTACCGGGCCATAAAATGTGTGTAGATGTCATTCATATCAATGTACTAACGCAATGCGCACACCGTCAGCACAACCAACGGGATGCGAATGAAAACAGGACCGTCATTACCTTTGTAAAGCAGAAATAGCTAAGGGCTTGTCTGCACAGCGACAATGAAGATGATTAATCCAAATTAACTAAGGTGTGCATTTGAACTAGATTAGTTAAATGGTGTTAAGCCCCTGCGTGTATATTCTCATTCAGAATTAAAAATGGCCTAATTCAATTTAACTTAATTTACTTCCAAAGTAAATCTTGATGCAGCAAAGATATTTTACCCTAAAGATCTGAATCTATGATAGGTCAACGACTAAAACACTGAAGGGAAAAAGAAGTTAAACAATACTTTGAGACAGCAGCATAGTTTGGGATTCATAAAGGTTGTTTTTGTCCATTTAAAAGAAAAGAAAAAAGGTGGGAAGGTACTCCAGGTGCCCAATGGAAAAAAACTTGAGTGCAGTAAACAAGGGGTTACCGAGCTGATGAGGAGCTCAGGGTGCACGTACCTCCCTGCATCCAGACTCCAGTCACTCCAAGTCCAATTTAGAAGCAAAGCTCCCAGTGTTTCCATGGCCTTTGGAGCAGCCAGCCATTTTATATACAAGGCAGCTCACTAGGGAGGCACGTCCTCTCTAAAAGTGGGATTCCCACCCATCCCCTGAGGCCCCAGCAGCCAGAAAGACTCAAGCCCGTGTCAGCAGCAGCTTTTATGGATGTACAATCGTCACTCGCTTCCTGCCCAATATCCCACATCCCTGCAGGGCTAGAAATGGGAGCTTTTATGTATTAAGAGCTACACAAGGTGACCCCGAGAGATTTTGATATTTATTCAATTTGGGGGAGAAACCTATCTTGGTTATTTTTTTCCTTTTCTTAAAAGTTTTAGGAAATGCAATTTCAAGGAAAAATGCAAGAAAAGGCTGTTGATTGCAAAATAGCATTGATTTTGAGTAAGCTATAAGGATATGAACAGGACAAACAGCTAGCGTCTCCATACCTTCTCTATTGCAGCTCTGAAAAAGAACTAATTTTGGAGACGCTGCCTCTGATGAATGACAAATGGTACTAACAGCAGCCACATGGCCCCAAACACCAGCATTTGAACAGTAGTAGCTAAGCTCTGACATTACCAATTGTGAAGACAAGAGATGAGACAGCCATTCACACTTGTGAGGCTGGTGCTTCTTCAGCTAGCAAAAACTTCCCCAAATCCTTAAAATATATCTTAAAATAAAGGAGCAGACGTTTACAACAAAAAAAAAATCCTTGATGTAAATAATGTAGATCCTCCAAGGCTTTAAAATGGAAGAGTGACAACACCTCTGCACCTTTCCCACAGCCTCAGCACAGCACCAACAGCCAGAGAGGCTTGGGCTGGGCACGTTTGGATGTGCCGTCCCTTCCTCTGCCCTTATCTTTAATGCATACAGTAATTTGGAGAAGAACTGGGCTGGGAAAGTTATGGAAGGTTATTTTGCTAACTGAGCAGTCAGACCTCAGTAACTCTCATGCTGGGATGTTTTGCTGGCCATTTCACATTTTCCCCAAGCCCTCAACCCCTGTCCTAACCTATATGCCAGCACCAGGGTCAACTACTACCACGGGCATCACTAGCAGATCCCAGAGGGATCTTGCCTTAATCGTGGTTTTATGCAGTCCTGTCGTCTTCAGCTACACTCCCATTCTTCTTCCCTGCTTCTGGAAAGCAAAACTTCAGCTAACTTCTGTCCTTGCTCACATCCCACGTGATGAGCCCCAAGGCTCAGCACTACCCTCCTGTGGGCTTTGCTTCAGTGGTTTCTCAAAGTATGATGGCTGGAAATCATCAGGGGTTGTGTTTTGGGTTTTTTTTCCCAGACTCTTGGTAGCAAAATCCTCCCCATTTCCTTGCCAGCGAAATTGCTTCCCACTTCTTGGCACATCTTTGCTCACCCTGGGGCTCATGTGGTTTAAAAAGTAAACAAATAAAGGCAGGAATAAGAAGTGAGGCTGCTCAAAAAACTTAGCAGGTGGCTCGGCATCGCTGCGTTCAAAATGGTCTTGCATTTTGCAGGTGGTAGGTGCTGCTGAACTACTTGCAAGGCAGAAGTCAGGCAGCACACTCCACCGGCATTTAGACATCCCAGGCTTACTGCTGTCTCCATCACCCACCAACTGCCTGAGGCTGGCCAGGCATATCATCTCCTATTTCTGTCTCATTTAAATTTGGGCCTTTGAAGAGGGATTTTCTCTTAGTCCATGCATATTATGCCTTGGTGAGGCAAGGTTTGCAGAAGGAGTTAACGTTGTTTATCATTTTAGCCATTATCTATCCATTCTAGCTGGAAGAACGACAAAATCCTTGTGGCACAAACCCCCTTTACAATGTTGGGGAACCTGTTCCTGGCTGGACCTGCAAAGTGTGACATTTCGGGAAAGGGGATTTCACTCGTTTTTGAGAAATTATGAAAGGCGCAGTCAAAACACAAGTTACCCAAGTCTTCCTCCCCTAACCAACTTTCCCATCAGCCAGAGTTCAAGGACAGCAGTCCACAGCAACTTGTACCTACTTTTTGTGACAACGCCTTCCAGGTGGATGATGTTGGGGTGGTCGAACTGCCCCATGATGCTTGCTTCTCCCAAGAAATCTCGCCTCTGTTTCTCCGTGTAGCCCACCTTCAGGGTTTTGATAGCCACTGGAAACTCACGCTTACCCTGCAGCTTCAGCCGCCCACTGCAGACTTCCCCAAATTCACCTTCAGAGAAAAACCAGAAAGAACGGGATCACAGCATGTCGAAGGAATGCACGGCGCACGTCTGTCTACAGCACGCAGCCCAGCCCCTGTAGAGAGCTGATCAAAAGCACAGTGCTGTCCTGCATTCATGGATGTGGAAAGCTGAACATCACAGTGATGACCACCTCAAATAGCCAGTGTATCACAAGACAAGTAATTCATAAGCACAAGAAAACTGGGAAGAAAAATGTAATTTTCCTATATTTAAAGAGCTATGCTCTATATTCCAGTGGGCTTTTTCCTCATTTCATGTTCTTGTCTACTAGATGAAAGAGTCCTGTCACATCCTATATCATCGCCCTGTGTAGATAGCTGTAAAACACAAGCCACTTGCTTCTCTACCTTCCTTTGGTAAGTTAAATAGATGGAATGCTGTTAGCCTTTCACAGCAACATATATTTTTATAGACTATAAAGCCTTTCCGATTTTATGACCACCTTTTTAAAAAAGTAACCCAAATGGATTTTTTCTTTTTTTTCTGGTGAACAGTAAATTACCTCCAAAAACACAATTTCAGAGGACAGAAAATATTCCTAAGGTTGGATGCAAGTCCAAAGAAACAGCTTAACTGGAAAGAAAACAGGAGTTTCTTCTTTTAACCAAGGAAGTTAAAACCTTTGGACTTTGGTTTGTGCTTTTTTTCTCTCCCAGATGACTTCTTATTCTTAATTTTTGCTTCGAGACTGACCTTAATGGGGGAGGAGAAAACGGTTAAAATGGTGAAAAGAACCTGAAAATTAAGTGACTCATTTCCCTTAGCATCCATCAGAACAACTCAGCTTGGTCCAAACGTGACCATTTTCTGCTGTTTTCAGTTCAGTCCCTGAATTTCAAAACTGCAGACTATGACAGGTTTGTCCCAAATTTCAGCTACAACATGCTCCCCACCACTTGCAGGGTACCTAACAGCACAAATATTTCACGGCCCTTCCCAGATCTCTCGTGTTAAGGAAGTCAACCCTCCACGCTGCTAAGGGTCATGAAATGCATTTCCATACCAGCTCCGATAACTCTTTCAATGGTTATGCACGAAGCTTCGATTTCCTTAGCAAACTCGTGGACAGCTTGATTAGGGTCCTCATAGGTGTGGGGGTCAATGTAGGTCCTCACTCCAGGCAGCTTAACTGCAAACACAAATTAAGAGTGTTACCAGCACATGGCATGACAGACGACGAGCAATACCCACTCCTGTCCCTTGCACCCTGCTTTGCTGGAAAACATTGCAGCAGGGAAACCTATTTCTATGGGAAAAATGAATAGCATTCTTGGAAAACAACATTTAGTTTATATGCGATGTATGTGCAACTTCATCCTATTTAGAAAAGCACACGATAGTGCTCAGCTGGAACAATGCGCACCTAAAAATCCCTCTCGGTGCTGCATAACGGGCTGGTCTGAGGTCTGGTGCAAAAGGATCCCTTTCTGGATCTGGAAAGGGTAAGCCAGGAGGAAAAGTACAAAAAGCAAAATGATAAGGGAACAACTTGCAAAGCAAGTTAGATGGATGGGGGTTGATGGAGAGCTGCAATAAATTATGCCCTACCAGTCACATATTAACTAATCAATGGCCACATTATTTCAGACGGAGTTACTGAGATTTAAATGAACAGAATGTTTGCAGTACAAAGCCTGTGGGTTGTACCAGTATAAATAAAATCAATAGCAAGCTTTTTCTCCAGGACTTGAGAGGGGAAAAAGTATTTTCATTTTCCGTATTATAAGTTTGTTTTGACAATCATTAAGGCTACTCACATGAAGAACTGCTCATCAGTCTAATAAGACAGCTACGTTACACTGTGGCTCTTAATTGATTTGCTTCCTGCTGCCTTCATTACATAGCACTAATGGAAATCTGACTTTCACTCAAGATGCGTTTGCCTTTTCCACCCCAAAAGGCACCTCGCTGTTACCCATCCCCAGATCCCACAGCACTTGATGAAGGAAGGCTTTTCAAACACTGGCTCTGAATGTATGGAAGGACTGATAATAACCATGAGATGTACTTCTAGTATCACCGCAGAGGTTTTTTGTATATAAGGGCATTAATACAGCATTTCTGAAAGCTTCCTAGGAGCAAGAAGTAGGCGTTATTCCTCACGCCTCTGCAGAGGCATCCAAGGCAAAGAGTAGCTGTGGGACTGATCCTCATTGCTGGCTGGGGTGGAGCGAGGGTTTCAAACAGGTATTCTGGACTGACGTGTCCAGACCACAAAAATGTGAACTTGTTATGTGCCAGCCAGGCGAAATTAATAGCACCTTGGGTCACACAGCAAAGAGCGAACAGAACAAAATGGCTTGCTAGAGAGACCTGCTGCAAACCCACAGGTGTGAACAGCTGGGCACATATAAGGACTGTTCAAATGGTCAATTCTCCATGGGGCTTAGAGCAGGAGCAGGTGGGGACTTAGTGAATAACAGAACAAACCAAATTCTTCCGTGAATTGCCAGCAAAACCAGATTTTTTTTTTTATAAAAACACTGTCATTTGTATTTCTCATTACCACAGAGAGCCAAAAACACATATATACATGTTCGATCTTTACTCACTGTGGCCGTTATGAAAATGCATCTTTTCTTCTTCTGGATCTTGTTTAGCCTTGCTATAGCCACATCGCCTGGAAAAAAAACAGAAGAGCGTTTTTGCCTCTGGTATGGCAGAACCCTGCTCCTTACTTCAAATCACACAAAACACAAAAACGCAGAGCAGCGACGAATCCAACCTCTCTAGTGGCTGTATTGCTGCTGTCCCAGTTTTAGCTCATCAAACTACTTGCAGTTTCCCTAACGGGATTCAGGGCCCAAGGCCCACTGATTTTCAATTGGACTTGCGCTTCCAAATCCCACAGATGCTTCTGAAAAACTCCACTCTACCATACATGTAATTTAGCTATTATTAAGAAGGAAAAAAAAAGGCAAGAACAGGAAGGACGATGGAAGGGGAATGGGATGAAACATTAGAATTGCAGAAGCAAGATCTCCTGGACCGCAGAGCTTTTGCAGGCACCATGTTGTATGTATTGCATGCTCCCCTTCATCCACTGGGCATTTGCACAGAACTTTAAATTTTGACACTTTAGAAAACAGCCTTATGTAAACATTAACACCTTATACACATGCAAAATGACGGGTTGAAAAAACTCAAAACCTGTTGCCTCACTGCCTTCAAGGGTCTCCTTGCTCTCTTGGCTCTGATGGGGTTTCCTGCACATCTCTCTCTACTCAGGGGAGCTACCATTCATGCAATCCCCTCTGCTCAGCAGCAATAAAGATGGAAGAAGGCACGCAGTCACTTCCTGACCTATCGTGCTCCCATGTCAGCACCAGGCAGTGCTAGGATGCTGCTGAATCCCACCATGGAACTGCAAACACAGCCGTATGGGAGCTGCATCTCCCCCAGGGCATCCTCCTATTAGTCTTTGGCTGCTTTTCCCTGACTCGTCCCTCACCCTTCTCACTGCTTCTCTAGGCAATGTTATTGCATTAGCATTAACTGGCTGCTTTGGTGGCATTTTTGAGACCTGCTTCACTTAGGCAACCACTTAGGAAATTACAGGGTAACTGCATAGGCAAGGAAAACTGCTCTATACACACATACACATACGTTTAAAAATATGGGACGAGGTATGCATGATGTACATACCTATGCCAGTCTTTCCAAGGACCTGTTACAATAACTGGATACAGCAACTAGATCATCCTTAGAGCAAACTGCATGGACACGAGACAGAGGGACACTCCTTGGCAGAGTGAAAAACCTGCAACGGACACCTGCAAGCCAGCCAGCACGCAGTGGGATCGCGAGCTGGCACACCTCAAAGAAAGCCTCAGGTTACCAAGGAGCCACTTAAAGCTGAGAAACTTGGAGTCTTCTCTTCTATTGCCCATGATTTTTGAGACAGGGAGATGTGAGCACTCCAGCATCACTCGCAGCAAGAAGGAGCATACAATTAGCAGAAACAAAACTGCAATTAGGAGGAGGCAGTAATAGGCATCTGCATGAAACATGTCCTCAGCATGAAGTCCTATTACAGGGAACTGCTGTCTGCCTGGTTGCAAGGGGCCAAGCAGCCTTTTGGCTATAGGATTTTGGCACCAGATTTGTGAAACGATCATGATTACAAACAAAAGCCCCAACACAACAGGACGCACGCACCACCACTGAGCTGGCCCCAGCAGAGCTGGACACCAGAGGGTCAAGGAGGGGAAAAGCAAGATGAGCTCCCGAGGTTACTCTGGGGAAGGGGAGCAGGCGCGCAAGCTTACCTTGCAGAGAAGGGGAGACCTGTGCCAAGGGGAAGAGGAGGAAAAAACAGACTGCAAAGGTTGTGCAGGGGAATGGATCAAGGCAAGGTGCAGAAGACAAGGGGGGAGGCTGACAGGCGGTCAGGGGCACAGGCAGGGAAATGACAGGGCCAATAAACAGGTCACACTCGATAAAGAGCCAGGCTATCCATGCAGGGTGCGATTTCAGCAGCAGTGACGAAGCTAAGACCATCACGCTCTGAATGCAAAACCCATGAGAGCGGTAACGAGGTGCCTGGAGACACGGCTCAGTTATCCACGTGTCGGTGCTTGTCGCCTTGCTCTAGCAGCAGCAGTGCCATTTCCCAAGATAGGGTCCTGCCTGATTTAACTCAAAAACTAAGTACTAGGTGTACATGGAGACCCTGAGAGTAAGGGTCATTTCAAAGCATGTTTTGTTGTTCACAATCCCTGGGTGAAAATGGATTCTTCTCCTTCTTCATCATACTGCCTCCCCCTTTAAGTATATAAACTAGAGATATGAGTATCAGCATCAGTTCCCACTTCTGGCAACCCCGATTTTTTCTGCTGCAAGTTGCCAAAACTTACATCAGTTTTCCGCAGAAGTAATTTTCTGGATTGAGGTGTATAATGCATTTTTCCGCTTAAAAATACACAAACATTTCAATTCATCCTTCTACCAAATGCACATATACAAGATTTCTTCCATTCACCTTTTAGAGCAAATGCCCTCATCTCCTCCTCAGGTTTGGAGTACTTCACCTATAAATAAGCTTTTCTAACATTATCCTTTTTACTGCCTGCATCTCCTGATTCTTTGACCATAAAGAGGCAGGAGAGAGAAATGGGGAACATGCCATCACTTGCATCCAGTGATCCAAGCACACCTTGATGCACAACGGTCCATGTTTTACTGCCCAGGGACACACTCAAAGGGCCAATGCAAACCAGTTGGCTCTGGCTGTCCCCCTCTCTCGAGCTGGGTAACACAAACGGCAGCACATCACATTAGCATACAAAATCAGGCTCTGGGACCCCCAAAGCATTGTTAAAACAAGCCTCGACAAGACATGCCACAGTGAAATGGCAGCCAGTAGACTGCAACTCTCAAGCAACTGTTGGGCATCACTAACAAAGCTTGCAGCAAAACCTGCCTGTTGCAATCACTTGTGCCCTTTGCACACTCGCTTTCTTAAACTACCCAGAGAAACAAGCCATGTACCTGCTGACTGGGGCTAAACCACACTTCTTCCATTCTTGACCTTCAGATGTTTTAAATAACACACACAAGCATTTTTTTCTCCTTTCTTCCCCAACTAAATACTGTAAAAATCTGCTATTTCAGGTTAACAGTCCTGACTCACTATGTGAATCTTACTGGCAGATAAAAGTATCTAAATATTGTGGATTTGTAATATATTTTGGGGGAAGAAAAAGCTCCCACTTGTTTGTGAAATAATCCATTTCTGCATGTGCATTTGCTCTTCATATTTATTGGAAAAGCTGTGAGTCAAAAGCCTGCTGATGGAAGACTCATTGTCTAGCTTATTGCCATTGTACAAACCATAGATTTCCTATATCTTTTCTATATCACGTACAGCAAAAGCATAAAGATCCTGACGCTCGCTTCATCTCCCACTGAGCTGGAGACACTCAGCCAAAGAGTTAATGTAATTCAGCAGCACACCTGAATCTCAGCTCATTTACTCCTGTTGTGGATTTGTCCCAGTTTCTGTATCTAGAAAGGAGACGTCTTCCTTGCACAGCTCTGTGTTTTTCAATAAAAGTATCAGAGGAAAAAAAAGTGAGACTTTAAATATTCTTAAGGCATCATGTCTTATTTAAAAACTACTTGCAGATTGGCAGGCAGCTCGTAAAATATTTATGGGGCAGATTATAAAAGTGAAGTTGTAAAATGATCCCTATATAGGTTTATAAAATATAAAACGGACAGGTAGACAGATGAAGAATCCAGCTGGGAAACCAATGCCCACTGCCTTGCATGGCAGAAGCCAATTCACAGAGAAAAATCCTTCAAGAAACGAGGCAGGAAGACACTTGCTCTCCCCGGATCGATGGAGAAACTTTGCGTCTGACCCTGTGCTTTGGGGTGCCCTTGCTGGGTGGTGTGTGGCCCCTCGGCCACCTGAGGCACCCCCAAAAACCACAGAATGCCCAAGGGAAGGAGTTTCCATCTCCCTAGCTGGGGCCACCACTCTGGTCACAACCCAGGCAGGACACAATCAGGGGACTGTGGAGCTGGACCGCAGACATCCAAGCTCTAGGCAGCAATGTGGGAGAGTCTTTATACACTTTTTTTATAGGCATAGGCCAAAGCATTTCAGCACACAGCCAAGGCGTTACGGGAAATGCACATGGGGACAGCATTTAGACATCCCTGATGAGGAAAGGGACCTCACCTTGCTAGGTCCAGTCAGTACCATCGAATGGCTTGTGCCCCGAAGCAGCATGCAATCTCCCATCCCAGTCCTGCAGAGATTTATACAGGTATTTAATGTCTGAAATATGAGATAAATGAACTCTGTGTGCTTCTCTGAAACAGAGACAAAATGCCACTTGCTTTTCAGGGGTGAGACCTTCACTCAGATGCACATCTTTCACAATAAACAAACTTTGAGGAATTCATCCAACCCATCTCAAGCTGGGTTTTACAGGAGGTTTGCAAGGACTGCAAGGTTGCTGTTTACAAGGGGTTAGTGCTCATTTCAGACTATTTATTCCAAGATGTGAAAGCAATAAGGCTGCATACGTGTTGCAGGGCAGGACTGTGTTCCACCCAGAGGAAGAAATAAACAAACATGGATCCGTCCATCTGGCCAAGATCCTGTCGCCTCAGCTCATGTGTGGAGACAATAACTTGTTCAGCAAATTGTTTTATCCTGGATAAACAACACCGATACTGAGAGCCAGAGGCAAAAGTCTACCTCAAGCGACACTGGTCCGTGTTCAGCATTTGCCTTTGCTGCTTGCAATCCTAGAATATATTCAGTATCACAAAACCAGGGAATACTCAAGGGACAAACAGCTTTTATACTGGAAGTTGTTTCCCATTTTTCTGTTCACTTTCCTTCTGATTTTTTGATGTCTATAAGGAGTTACTTCTGTTGTAGTGGACCAAAATTTCACATGGAGCAACTTGGAGCAACCCATACAGGCTGGGAATCTGACTCATTCAACATCTCTCTCTGCTCTCAAAGTCCTATAATTTGGAGAATGGGATCAAAAGAGCAGTAAAAGGTCTTGAGATGACAAGCTAAGACCTTCGGCTCAGTTCAAAGATACACTAGAAGACTGGCCTGAGAGGAACCAGGGCAGGTTCCCTTCCTAAGGG